ACAGAGCAAACTTCTTCTGTCATTTTTCATCCGTCATTCTCTCCCTGTATTCATGTGTAACACAAAATAGAAAAAAAGTTGTGCTGTGACAGGCCATGGGAAAGATCTGCTGCAAATCCACAAGCTGCAGCGATGCTGTGGGATTGGAGGGTCCAGTCCTGGTCAATATATTCATCAATGACCTGGATGAAGGGATGGAGTGTACCCTCAGCAAGTTTGCTGCTGACACAACTCTGGGAGGGGTGGCTGACACACCAGAAGGCTGTGCTGCCATCCAGAGAGACCTGGACAGGCTGGAGAGTTGGGCAGAGAGGAACCTGATGGAATTCAACAAGGGCAAGTGTAGGTGCTGCACCTGGGGAGGAATAACCCCCTGCACCAGGACAGGTTGGGGCTGACCTGCTGGAGAGCAGCTCTGAGGAGAAAGACCTGGGAGTCCTGGTGGACAACAGGATGCCCATGAGCCAGCAATGGGCCCTGGTGGCCAAGAAGGCCAATGGCATCCTGGGGGGCATCAGGAAGAGTGTGAGCAGCAGGTGGAGGGAGGTCATCCTGCCCCTCTGCTCTGCCATGGGGAGGCCCCATCTGGAGCACTGGGACCAGTTCTGGGCTGCCCAGTTCCAGAAGGACAGGGAACTGCTGGAGAGGGAACAGCAGAGGGCTACAAAGATGATGAGGGGCCTGGAGCATCTTTCTGATGAGGAAAGGCTGAGGGACTTGGGTCTTTGCAGTCTGGAGAAGAGAAGACTGAGAGGGGATCTGATCAACACCTATAAATACTTAAAGGGAGGGTGTCAGGAGGATGGGGCCAGGCTTTTTTCAGTGGTGCCCAGGGACAGGACAAGAGGAAACGGACACAAACGCGAACACAGGAAGCTCCATCTAAACTTGAGGAGGAACTTCTTTGCTGTGAGGGTGGCAGAGCCCTAGCAGAGGCTGCCCAGAGAGGTGGCGGAGTCTCCTTCTCTGGAGACATTCAAACCCACCTGGACACGTTCCTGTGGGACCTGCTCTGGGGGGACCTGCTCTGGCAGGGGGGTGGACTGGATGATCTCCAGAGGTCCCTTCCAACCCCATGGGATTCTGTGGTGTGCATATGTGGTAGATGTTTGGAGTCGTCCTCTGCTACTTAAGCTCTTTTTGCCAGGCAGCCCATATGACGATTGCGCACCCTGCCAAACCATTCAATGAAAAGCTGAACTTTAAAGGACGTCTGTGGCAGAGTTATATTTTTGCTGTGCTCACATGGTGATAAATTACAAAAGCTGCTGAGTCTTTAACACTGAACAGTAGATGAAGAGTTGCCTTGTATGGGCATTGTTTGATGAGTTTTAACTTGGGAAACAATTATTGCCGAATGTGTCCTTGACGGTGAGCGCGCACCGTGAGTGTTCTTTACATAATGCACATAAACATTAGATCTTTGTTTTAGTGAGCCTAAATACTTGTGTTTTTAACTCCTTTTCCTCGGAGACTGCTAGTTGGAAAAGCAGAGTGTTGTCTTTGGTCTTGGCTCTAGGTCAGTGTTTTCTGTGTCCGTAACCGGTCCGTGCTCATGTGGAGCGCTGGCAGCGGCTGCTTTCCAGGCTTCATCGTTTTCGCTCTCCCCTGCCATGCCATGATTGTAGCACTGTTGTGTTTTGAAGCTGTTGTCCACCGCCGCTGTGCTTCGAGGGGTCTGTCCGTGGAGGTGTAAGCAGTTCCCAAGGGGCGTGTGATGGATCCAGGCGATGGGACAGTGGGACGTAGCCTTCTCTCCCTGCAGACTCAGGTGTGGGATGAGTCCTGTGGACAGATGCTGAGCGCATCAGCACTGCTCGCTGATTTAAAACGAGATTTCTCACAAACCATGTCAGGGCCTGTCACTTTGCTCAAGCGAGGATGTGTTCTTAGGGATGCAGAGATGCTAAGGACAGCCCTATGCCATGGGCAAACTAGAACCCCAGTGTTTTCCAGTGACTTTCCATTGGTATCTCCCACTGTGGCATAAGAAAACAGCAAGAAAAAGAGCCTACAGCTCTAAACTCGGGATAACACAGTGCATCCTCCTGTGATTAGCACTGAGTGGCCAGAGCTCCTCAGCTCCAGACAGAGCTAATTCTTGATCACACGCCAAGACCACATAGTGCTGACATGACTGAGAAATATCTTCCATAATTAGATTGCTTGGTCATTCATTTTTGAATGTCTGAGTTGCATTTTGGAGCATAATTCCTTAACGATCAACCGAGTGGGATCTGTGCAAGCCTGATTTACTGTCAGTAGCACTCTTCTTGCTCAGCTTTGCATGTGTGTCCCAGGGATGCAAATCTGAGAGGAGGGGGATCACAAAAAATGATTTTGCTTTGTAATATTAGGCAGGATGGTAACTTTAGTTTAATACTATAAATAGATATAAAACTGTTTCTTGTATTTGTGAAATACATTGGGCTTTTTTTTTTTTTTTTAAAACCATAACTAAATTGGAGTCATCCTTAAAAGAACGGGGCTCCCAGGGCATCTGTGACAACTTCAGAAGTGTCTGCAAAGTGTAACTAGGAATAGACATCCTGCTATCAGTAGGTTTGTGTTTGCCAAGTAGGGGAGAGGTTTACCCCTCTGACACAAAAGAATGGGAGGTATGTCAGCCGTAACCACCAAAGGCCAGCATGCATCATGGAAACGGTACTGCAACCACAAAGTGCATTTCAGGTAATATATTTCCAACATACTCCCCTTCCATAAGAAACTGGGGGGGGGGGAGCTGTTTCAAGACTTTTGAAATTAAATTATTTTGACATTGGGAGACTAGCCATCGCTCTAGCTGTAATTATGGCTTCACTGCTGTTTATTTGTTTCCTGCTGTATCAAAGAGCCTTAGTCCTATATTGGAGCCAGAGCAAAGAGGTTCCAAGTGAAATAAAGCGGCGGCATGTGGGCCCTTTGTTGTTTTTGAATGCTGGTGAGTAAGGCAGGCTCACAGAGGAGTCCCCAGGCGTACTCCGGGATGGATGTGGTGGGCAGGATCCAAAAATCCCAGGTGTGCATCTTACCAAGTTGAAGGGAGCTGCACTCTGCGGTGCTGCACCCCTCAGCGCCGTGTGTTTGCCGCTGGAGGTGCTGCTCTGAGATGGAAGGAAATAGAGTCCATCAAACTAAAACAGATCTGTAAGGAGATGGCGAGCTTTTTCTGTGTTTTCTGAAGGCTGTGTCTAAGCGGTGCTGCTTCCCGTAACAGACTTTGAGCTTTCCATAACTCAAGAGCGGCGGATGGTCTTGTGCAATAAATCAGCTGTGGCAGAATTATCTGTCGGTCAAGGTCTCTCCACGATGCCAGGGAAAACAAACAAACCCTGTAGCGCAAGTGGAAATTAGATTTAGGGGGAGAGGTCCTTAGGAGTTATGCATGGAGAGATATAAAAATAGTTATATCTTGTTTTAAAAATAGTTATATCTTGTTTTAAAAATAGTTATATCTTGTTTTAAAGCGGTCCATAAGTGTCTGAAGGGAGAGATACTGACATTTCTGCGCTAGGATGTCGTGCAAAGGGATGCAAAGGTTCAGTAGCTGGGCCAAAGATGTTGGTAGGAGATATTCCTCGTGTTGGTCACGGGCAGGCTTTGTTTCACACTGTGCAAAAATGGCTGGTGACTGTCTCTAAGCCCCCTTTTGGCACTCTGGTAGGTGGGATGGCTCTGCAGTAAGCACACGGTTGTGAAGAGGATGTTTTCTGTGCAGGTTCTTTGCAGCTCTCGCCGTGAGTCTCTGAACGGCAGTGGTGATGGTTAGAGGTGGTTGTTGGCTTCCAGGGTAAGGAAGAGCCATCTTCTTCTCCATCTGCCTGAAGAGCCATCATCTTCTCCATCTGCTTCCTCGGGGCGGAGGATAAGGTTTGGCAGTGGGGTGTGAAACGGGAGGGAAGGCAGCAGCTTACATGTAGGCTGTGTCTTTTAAAATACCGTCTGACTTGGAAGGATGAGTTCCTCACCCTAACTGCTTGTTTAGATCATGTCTTCAGCGTTGACAGAAGATTTGCACAGTTTGCCCAAGTTTGAACAGCTTTAGTGTCGGCCCACCTGCCTGTGGTGGTGCAGCGTTGTGGGACCTGGAAGCAGAGGGTTGCTGGAGCAGAGGGTTGCTATGCCAAGGGTTTATCTTGGCCCACAAAACTTGACAGCAACGTTTTACTGGTGATGCTAGAAGGGCAGCTTCATCCCGCGCTACAGTGAGATGCTCTAAGAGCGAATTATTCGGGGCCAGATCCCGTGCCCCAGTTGTCTGTGAACTTTTGAAATGGAGCTATGGTAGATACTGAAGCACTTTGTGATTCCGCTGACCAAGCCAGCTTGAGCCAGGTGACTCTTGGGAGACATTTATCTTTCAGGGTGAAGGAAGAAAAATCTGTTTGAATTCTCCAAAAACAAACACCCAATTTTGCCCAGGATGGTGATAGAAAACTGCAAAACTAGGAGCTGGGAAATATAAAGCTTTTTCATGAGCTGTTGCATAAACAAGTATATTTTGTTATCGGTGATAGCTGTGTTTCTGAGAGAGATTACTTCTCCTATGATAATTAAGGTGAAGAAAAAAGGCTTTAGTTGTACCAAAAGGACTATTGCCACTGATACTGTGTTGTGTATTAGCTGAATGATCTGGAAGTAATTAAAACACTCAGCAAACATTTTGTGGAAGATATTATAGTATATACAGGTCAATTTGCTGGTTCTTCAAATTATACTGTGCAAGATGAGTATCTGTTTATTCCATTTATTAACCGAATAAATAAGAGGACGTTTTTTCTAATGTTCTTGCAGAAAGACAAGGTGTGGTATCTACACGTGTTGCTATAAAGTTCCTCTACAGCATCAGGTGTTGATGTGCCTGGTCCAGCACTCGCAGTGAGGGGGGGAAGCTCCTTGGTGCTATGGGTCCTCACCCCCCCAGCCTCACAAACCGACCTCTTTGCTTGTGTGTGGAGAATCCTTTTAACTTGGGATATTTTCTTCTCTGCTTTTCAGGTGACCACTTGAAAGTCTGCTCACAAGGCTACACATGCTGCTCTCAAGAGATGGAGGAGAAGTACAGTCAGCAGAGTAAACATGACTTCAGAAACGCCGTCGTGGAGCTTAGCAATCACCTACAAACCATGTTTAGTTCCCGATATAAGAAGTTTGATGGTAAGTGCAGAGACCTTGAACTTGCTCTCCCTGGGATAAAAGGTAGAAAAATCTCCATCCTGTTATTCTCTGTACAGTGGCTCTGCTCTGCCTCCCCCTTCGCTGGGGAAGTTCATGACTCATGGCTCAGAGGGCAGAGCATGCCTTGTTTCGCAATCCTGTGAGAGAGAAATATTTGCTGATTATAGCTGCTTCTTTCCCAAAGAGAGAGATCTTTCTTTCTGATTAATCTTTTGAAAAACCATTTTGCTCTTAATGTAAGATTGCAGTTAGCTTAGTTGGTACATCCCCGCAGTGCGTGTAACTGTAATGTGCGTAACTTGCAGCTCTGATCCACAAAATTGCTGATCTTTCCCAGTGTGTTGTTAACCAACAGGATTTGTATCCGTCTCTCTTTGCCTTTGGGGCTAAGCAGATAAATAGAGAGCTGCTTTCGTGCGGAGGGTTCAAGTGTGATGCGGGGTCAGCAGCAAAATGACCCAAGTCTCGGCTGATTTCCCATGGCTGGAGTGACAGTGCTGGCTGCTGGCTGACAGGCAAATGGCTGCTCTGGGCATTGCCCCAGGATCTGCAGCCGTGTTCAGTCCGACTGGGTCTCCACAGGGCACACTTTGCTTGTGGAAGCTGCAGGGAGAAGGTCCCTCCGGAGGGAGCTGGCACATACCCTTCCAGCGCTGCCCACCTCGCAGCCAAGCACCTTTCTTTCAAGAACACCTTGGGTACGTCCCTCTTGCAAACAGCTGAGGCCGGTGCCCAGGTGTCGGGCACAGCACCCATCACAAGTCTGAGCCCCATCTCTTGGGGGGCTCTGTGGGCACCTCGGTGCTCCTGGTCCTGGGCGTCCCCAGGAGGGAGGAGCAGGGCATCAGGCTCCTGCCTGCATTGTCCTTGTTGGCTGGGGGAACGAGGTGACACCCAGTTGCAGGTGGAAATATCTGAAGATATTTCAGATATGTTTCAGCAGGTGGACTGGGTTCTCCTCATACATCATCATCACCGTCTGGTAGCAGAGGGTGATTCCACTGCACAGCTCTTTTTCTTTTTTTTTTTTTTTTTTTTTTTTTTTTTTTCCCCTGGACTCTTCTCCTTTGTTTGGTCATTGGTTTGACATGGATTTTCTGCTAATATCTTGAAGTTGGGCCTTCAGCCTCCCAGGGACCTCCTCTGCACTACTGCAGCAGGTAGCAGCTCCTTTCTTTCAAAAGGGATTGGCACTCAGGTAAGCAAAAAAGTCCCTGGGTATGAAATTGCAGTGAGTCAAAGTGGAATTACGCAATCAGCTTGATAGCATCTAAATCTGCTAGCTAAATATTTCCCTCTTAACCTCTGTTGTCTCTACCTGCTGGTACACCAAAGGGGTGATAGAGAGAGAACCAAAGTGTCTAGACTTGCAAGCTTATTAAAGGCAGAACAAGGCACTTAATGAAATCCAGCCCATAGATAAGCCCTTTCAAAGAGACCAGAGGAACAGCATCTGCTTCACCTTAAATGAACGACGAGGCTTTTTGAAATGCTGCACTGAAAACAAAGAGCGTGCAGGGTTCACTCTGTTGGCATCCCTGAGGTGGTGCTAGGTGTGCCTGCCCCTTTGCAGGCTGAGAGAAGGCTTGCAGGATGGCAGGTGATACTAAGCCAAGCTGAGCTGGGTACCTGTCAAAGCACGAGGCTTCAAAACGGGGGAGCTGTGATGGGGAGCCCTGTAGGAGCCGTTCTGTGGGCGCTGCACGGTTCTCCCTCAGCCCCTCGCAGCGTCCCCGGTGCGGGTCTCATCCTGACCTTAGCCCTGGGAGCCCTTGACAGGCAAATCTGGAAGGGGATGCTGTGATCCTGTTGCTGGAAGTGGGATTTACTTTGCCCAACCTGCCCCTGGAGAGTGTTGCTCTGCCCTGTGCAGAACTAATGAAGGAGAAGTAGCAGCCTCCTCAGCTTGTCCCACAGCCTAATGGCCCTGTCTTTGAGCGTTTGCTAGTATCAGATCTCAGTCTTCATTTGCTGCAGACAAAGCTGATTTAGGGATTAACTTTTTTTTTTTAATCTTACCTGGGGTAGAAGCAGAGATGAACTGATTACTATCTTCCATCATTTGCCTCTTGGAAGACTTTTAATTATGACTGCTTCTCTCCCTCCAGCCCAGTCACCTGGAGGCTGAAGGCACCCCTTCTTCAGCCATGCTCTTGCCTGTGGCTGGGGCAGGTTGAAGAATCTCCCCTCTGAGCTCCTCAGACTCTTCTGCAAAAATTGTGGAGTGCAGTGCCCTGGAGCGCAGTGGTAGTTGTGTTTGTTTAAGAGCCTGCTGTTGGGTGATTGTGATGGCTCCTTGTGGTGTGATGTTGCCTTCCTTTGGTCCTGGTGCTTGGTCATCAGGTCACAGAATCACAGAATCTTAGTGGTTGGAAGGGACCTCTGAGATCATTGAGTCCAACCACAAAAAAAAAAAAAAAAAAAAACAA